TGGACAAGACGAGTGATTAACGTCATAGCAGGGTTTAATTTGGAAGGTCAGCCCTGAGCCAAGTCGAGTCAGTGAGTTCTTTTGTTCATTTCATTTTTGTTTGTTTCGTTTGTCGATTCTTTATTCTCCTACTATCTTTGTAGTTGTTTGTTCTGCCTCATCTATTGTTTTCTTCTTTTCTTTGCCATTTTTCATTAATAAAATTTAGCTAAATAGTTTGTCAGCTTGTTGTGTTTTAATTGTTCGTAGTTTGCACTCGAATCTTGATTTTACTACCTTTCAATTAGTTGCTAAATGATTTTAAAATTTTCAGGGTTCTGTTTAATTTTGTTAATTCTGTCTTGTTTGATTTTATTTTTGTTCTGATTTCTGTTGAGTTGTTGTTTGGTTTCAATTAAATAATCTGTGCTTAGTGCTATTAACCTGATTTCAGTTTTCAGTAGTTATTGTCTTAGATTTAATTCCATTTGTTAATCAAAGAGCTGTTTGGTTATAGCTGAGTAGGGTAGATCTTTGCTTAACCATGGTCAATCCTTGACCAATTATCAGGGTTGGAGGTTTGGTTTGACTAGGTTAGTAAATTAGAAGCCAAATAAAGGGTAATTTAAGGAATGCGGTTCAGGGAATCTTTGGGGCAACAGAAATTGGAAGCTACTAGAAGCACCTAGAAGGGGTTCTAAGTGGAATTTCGAATTGTTAAATGAAAACTTGGGTGGCAAGTCACAACTCCAGGGATACTTAAGCAAAAGCCAAAATTAAGTAAGGACCCAAGAGAAAAATGAAAATCTGAAGGTTGCCCTAGACTTTGTCTATAAAAGGGCAATACCTTGCCTTACAATAGAAGTTTGGAGAAGTTTAAAACTCTGAAAAGTTTAGAGAGGGAAAAATCTGAGAAAGTTTAGAAAATTTCAGATCTGAAAAGTTCAAAATTCAAATCCTAAAACTTAGAGAAATCAAAAATTAAAAAAAAAAGGACAATTCAAATTATTAGAGTGATCTTAAGTTCCAGTTGCTGAGTTAACCTTCTAGCTTACATAAGGTTGAAAATGACGTGAATATTCCTTGTATTTTTGTAGTTGAAGTTTCAGGAGCCCCTGGGTTGATTTCTGAGTTTTAATTTGGTTCATTCAAGTTGTTTTTGGTTGCTTACTGGTGCTATTCCTCTGAATTCAATTCCTCGGTGGTTTGGTATCATTTCTGGGTTGAAAATTGGTTTTAAGCTGCTGGTTCCTGTTACTGCTGAAGCTAAGCTTGCTGTCTCATTTTTCCTTGTCTATTTCCTATTCCAGGTACAAATTTTGATCTCTACATAATGTGAAACTCAGTCCTGAGGATGAAATGAAGCAGCTCCTACATTAGTTTTCACTTGTGTTAAATACTTGTTCCTGATCATGTATCTTACTTACTAATGATGTAATTCTTATTGTTTGTTCCCTTAGAATGGTTTAAAACTCAAGTTGTAACTATTGATGGACTTTTAACACTATGAAATGCTCGGATTCTGCTGTTCGGTGTAGAGTCGTAAATTAATTCACAATCCATGATAGTTTGAATGTATAGGCAAATTAGATTTGTCAAACTTTATTGCTATTGAATAAATGTGAGCCAGATATATGAACTAGGTTGAGCAGTAATAATAGAATTGGTCTTGCATGAAACATGAAGGTTATTAGGAATTTGGCTCACAATCACATAGATTCCTTTTAATGCTTTCCAGGTTTACTATCATAATTGAGGAGTTAATTCAAATCTGGAATTCGGATTTAATATAGCTTACTTCCATGAGTGTCAAATTGACTAGCTAATAGATGTTTAAATTAGTTCCTAGTTAATTCATGATCCATGCTCAAATGGTTGACTTTGTTTTTAAATCTCTTTCTTGTATTCATTCGAATCTAGTTAAGAAAATTGCAAATTTAAAATCAGTTGTTCATACGCCCAGTAGCTATAAATGCTGGAATTTGATTTCCAGATCTCTCTCATATTCCATTTAGATGTCCCTTCTGAATTGGGCCTGCCCTGAGCCCAGGCTAATACTGCCGAATTGGGCCAGTTTCTGCATCCCTGAGGGCTAATCTGGAAGCCCTCTTTCTATGCGCCTCTCCTGAGGGCTGAGCCTATTTTAGGGCCAGGGCAGATGTACTAAATGATCCATTAAATCATTTGAATATTGTAGCCTTGGGCCTTCCAAGTTAGGTAGCAAATTTGAATTAAGGGGTCTTCAATGAATGAAGATCCTCTTGTTTGAATTTGGACTTGTTCTTGAGGCCCAAGTTTGTTTGAATGCTTTTAATAATAGTTCATTAATAATTTTAATTAATTAGGCCTTTAGAGACAATCTTTAATAGAGAATAATAGTCCCTTTAGGATGGCCTTAAAATAAAACGAGGTGCGCCGCGCCAAACAAAATTCATAAATTGTGTGGCCCTCTTTAATTACTTCTATAAAAATATTTAGAAATCGGGTAAGCCATTTAGCAAATTTCCATGGCTTCCCGCAAAGATATCAACACGCTAGTTGCTTTAGGCGCGTCATTTAATAATTTTACCTTCCTAAATTCGGGTGTGCATTTCATGTGACCCAAATCCAAATCTCAAAACGTTGAATAAGAGGTGTCAAGGATCCGGGTGCATTTCATGTGACGTGATCCAAAAACACGCTCTTAAACGGCGTTCACTTTCGTAAAAATAACGAAAAATGGTAAATAATCTTAAAAAATTGCATTATAGGTTGGAATATGTATAAAATCCAGATTTTTAGCCAATTATAATAATTTAAGCGACCGTGCTAGAACCACGGGATCCGGGGGTGCCTAACACCTTCCCTCGGGTCAACAGAATTCCTTATTCAGAATTTCTGGTTCGCAGACTCCAATTGGGAAGTCGAATTTTTCCTCGATTTGGGATTTAAATTAAATCGGTGACTTGAGACACCAAAAGCCAATCCTTTTCCAAGTGGTGACTCTAAAAATAAATAAATAATCCCATTTCGAATAATGTCACTTTAAATGGAAAAACTCCCTTATACATTTATCCTTCGGGGTAGGTGTGTAAAAAAGGAGGTGTGACACATGTTGGTCCCAACTGTCTTCCACTGTGGCTTCATTATTCAAACTCAGAACTTTCATGTCACTGAAAAGGTCTTTCAAAGGTCCATGTCCTAGCCAGTTATCATTCCAAAAGGATGTTTTCCTCCCATTCCCTACTACAATAGAAATATTTTCAGCAAAAAGAGGCCAATAAGCCCTGATGGACCTCCAGACACTAACCCCGTATGTTGTTGTCACTGCTCTAGGTATCCATTGTCCCTCTAGTCCATATTTTTCAATGATGACCTGTCGCCATAAAGTTTCATCTTCCCTGCCAAACCTCCAAAGCCATTTCATGAGTAGGCTTTTATTATGTAGTCTTAAGTTTCTTATGCCTAAGCCCCCAGATTTCTTGGCTTGTGTCAAAACCTTCCAGTTAACCAAGTGATAACCTCCCTTCTCTTTATTTCCTTGCCAGATGAAATTCCTTCTCATAACATTAATCCTTTTCTCTATTTTTGTAGGAATTGGAAAAAGGGACATCATGTATGTGGGAAGTGCATCTAAGACACTATTAACCAATGTTACTCTGCCCCCCAGGGATATGTACTGGCTTTTCCACTTCGCCAATCTTTTCTCACATCTTTCTAACACCCTACTCCAAATGTCTAACGACTTGTTTTTAGAACCCAATGGCAAACCTAAGTAGGTTGTAGGAAGAGTTCCAACTGTGCATCCAAGAACGCCTGTCAGTCTTTGTATAGCAGTTACCTCATTTACTGGAAAAATAAGGCTTTTCCTCCAATTGACATGTAGACCAGAGACTGCCTCAAAAATTGTTAGAATTATCTTGAGATGTCTTAACTCTTCTTCTTTTGCATCACAAAATACCAAAGTATCATCTGCATATAGTAGATGAGTTACCTCCATTCCACCTACACTACTTGCCACCTTAAAACCAGTCATCCACCTATTGTTATTTGCTACCTTTATCATGTTATTTAGACCCTCCATTGCTATTAGGAACAAAAAGGGGGAAAGAGGGTCACCCTGTCTCAAACCTCTATGTGAAGGGAAGAAACCTTCTGGGGAACCATTGATGAGAACAGAGAACCTGACTCAGCTTATGCAGAAGAGCATCCATTTAATCCACTTTCTTCCAAAACCCATAGATTTCAGCATTTTAAGAAGAAAAACCCAGCTCACATGATCATATGTTTTCTCAATATCAAGTTTGCAAAGAATTCCAGGTATCTTCATCTTTAGCCTTGAATCAACACATTCATTAGCCACTAGTGCTGCATCCATTATCTGTCTCCCCTTTATGAAAGCCATCTGATGCCTATTCACTAGCTTGGGGATCACTGTTTTCAATCTCTCGGTCAAAACCTTAGAAATAATTTTGTACACATACCCAATTAAGCTAATAGGCCTAAAATCTCTTAACTCTCGAGCTCCAGTCTTCTTTGGTATAAGGGCTATATATGATGCATTAAAGCTCTTCTCAAAAAACTCCTGTGTATGAAAATTTCTCAAGGTTTGCATAACATCTTCCTTTACGATATCCCAGCAATAATGAAAAAATCCCATAGTATATCCGTCTGGCCCAGGTGCTTTGTCTGAAGCACATAATTTTACCCATGCGCATACTTCATCCTCTTCAAATGATCTTTGTAACCACTGCTTCTCACCCTCACTTATACAAGGACAATCAGCCAAAACAAACTCTGGTCTCCATTCCTCTGTTTCAGTGTAAAGTTTTTGGTAGAAGGATAGAATTTCCCCTTTTATAGTCTCTGGATTCTCCATCGTCATACCATTAACTTCTAGCTTATCAATTGTGTTATTTCTCCTGTGTGCATTTGCCATTCTATGAAATTTTTTTGTGTTCCTATCCCCTTGCTTGAGCCAAAGAACTCTAGATCTCTGTCTCCAAGCTATCTCCTCATTTTTTGCTATATCTTCCAGCTCCATGAACATGCTGGCCTTCTGCAAAAGCTCATCTTCAGATAGATTTCTAGTTTCCTGTACAACATCCATTTCTACCATGGAACTTAGAAGTTGAGTTTTCCTTACTTCAAAGTTGCCATGATTTGTACCATTCCACTCTTTTAGTTTTCCTTTCAGCATCCTCAATTTGCAGGCCAGAATATAATCAGGTCTACCATGTACCTCAAAGGAAAGCCACCACGTTTTCACCATGTCACTAAAACCTGCCACCCCGAGCCACCAGTTCTCGAACTTGAAATAAGACTTATGATTCTCCCAATCTCCACATTCTAACAGTAAGGGAGCATGGTCAGAAGAGACTCTAGGTAACAGTGTTTGGGAAATATTCCTGAATTCATCATTCCATTTCGTAGAGAATAGAAACCTGTCTATCCTTGAAAAAGCTTGCTGATTGTCACCCTTTGCCCAAGTAAAACTTCCTCCGATAAGAGGAGGATCCACCACTTCCATGTCATTAATGAAATCAGAGAACTCTATCATGGATCTTGTCATTCTCCTACAATTGCTCCTCTCATTTACAAATCTAGTTGTGTTAAAATCCCCGCATATTACCCAGGGACTATCAAAAAGTCCCCTAGTATCTGCAATTTTCATCCACATAAGTTGTCTTTCCACCCTGCTGCAAGGTGCATATACCCCTGTGAGGTGCCATGAGAACTCCTCTGTCATCGAGCTGAATCTACAAATAATTGTGGATATTCCAGTGGTGATCACCTCTCCTCTCCATGCCCTATTATCCCATAAAATAAGAATTCTCTCACTTCTCCCATTTGATTGCAAGCAACCAAACTCTACCCTTCTATTGGTCCATATTTGCTTGACTAATGGTTCAATATTTCCCTCTAGCTTAGTTTCTTGAAAGCAATAAATGTCTGCTTTCCACCTTTGTATCAAACTGTTCACTAACCTTCTCTTTTTCCTTCTATTCAATCCCCAAACATTCCACGAGATAATTTTTATCTTCATGGTTCACTTCTGGAATAATTGTTATCTTCATGGTTCCCTTCTAAGTCAAGCTGTTTTTTAAGCATGTATAGATGAGCCATAGCCCATAAGGTAGTTTATTTGAGCAATTTAGTCCTCCAGCCTGAACATGCAGGCTTCATTGGTTGAACCCTATATAACTATTAACCCTTATTTGTGGAGGCTTCAGTACTCTCACCCTCTTTGGAAATTGTTTACCCCTGTATATGCCTAAAAAGGAAAGACATACGTACCACACTTCAAGTTGTCCACATATATACCGAGAAAGTTTCAAATCATAAGTAATAAGAAGATATGTAGCGAAGAATCATCAAATTTTCAGTGCTTCAGAGCGTTCCTTGTAAAGAAATTTTAGAATGGACCAGCCGTTCACTCTTGCAAGGAGAGCAAAAATAACAAGGGAGGTACTTCCAAACACTGCTTTCAGCTTCAAATACTCTCTTTTTTTCCAAATAATACAAAGCAGAACTGCATTCTCAAATCAAGTGAAGTTTGCCCGCAAAAGAGGTTCATTTGTAAATTAGCTAGAACTAAAATGAAGAGTGATTGTGTATGTTCTTTCATTTATGTGGCAATTTAGGTGAAATCTTCAAGAAATTACAAGGCCCCAACCTGAATTTTAGCATCAGAACAATAGCTCGACAAAATGAAAAATAAAACTGGGTATTGAGTAACATGTATTCACAGTCATTTTAAGGATAATGTATACGTAACGAAACACCATACATTCTTCATAAGATATTACATGTCAGTATTTAATCAATCCCAAGCTCTTCAACCAGGGGAGCACCTCAGACAAACCTTCTTTCAAACTTCTCGGGTGGTAATCCAGTTCTGCCTTCGCCTTATCACAAGAGTAAGACCACTGATGTCTAAGCACGGAAACAGTCTGTTCAAGATGATGTATAGAGAGGTAATACGAATTAAGGTCCAATGCAAGCTAATGAGTTAGTAAAAAAGAAAAGAAATGTAGGTCAGCCAAAACCACAATGCATGGAACATGTAAAATCCCTTCAATGTCATCATCTGATTTTGGGATGGGTGAAAAATTTGGCCTGCTTATGTGCTGATATCATTGTCTACTTCTGTTAGGTGCAGCAAATACTAAATCTTTTCGCAGCTTGTTAAATAGCGACCGTTTTCAAAAAAAGAAGGCCGAGCAAAGAGGCACACATACTGCCCTAGTTATGCAAATGCAGAGTCCAGAAGTAGAGGTTTAGTTTGAGAAATAAGGAGTCAGACATAAGCAACATAACAATGGTTGTCATACATATAAATTAGATACATAATATTATTCCTGTACATTTTATGATAAGTAATAATCCCGAACTATAAGCCACGAAAAAGGTCTACTAGATATGCTAAGAAAGCAATGTGTCACACATAGAGCCAAATGCGAAGGCGCCACTATCCACGTCAGAGTAACAGATCTGCAGCAATTTAAGCAGGTAAAGTGGAGACAAGTAACAATGCAGCCATTCGAACTTGATCTTCAAGAATAAATTTGGCAAGTACCTTAAAAGAAAAATAGAAAAGAAAGCTAAGCCCTATGTATCTGTCATTGTGATATTGCTGCATTAAACCAATTTTCTCTTTTGCCGACTGTTGGGTATCGACTCTCAAACAACTCAAGACATACTCCGCTAAGAAAACCGGTATAACAACTAAAAACTTGAAGCATCAATCTGTTTCTTACCGGAGGACTGATTAGAGGAAGCTTTCCTGTTAATTTGGAGAAAAGAACTGATATCCATCCGTAAGCTTCAATAATAAGTAGGGGGATGCCAAACAAAGGCTTCTTTGTCCGAGTGATCATGGCAGCTATGTCAAAAACTTCCTTAAATGATGCATTCTCCCCAGTAAGAAGATATCTTTCACCTGGTTTGCCTTTGTCCATAGCTGCAATATGCCCGTCAACCACATCATCAACATGGCTAAAAGAAAACCTGTCATTTGCTTGGCCAATGTAACCAGGTAAACGCCCATTAAAGCGTTCAATTATCTGACAAAGCAATATCCGACAACTTAATATCACATAAATTTCATATGTTTGACAAATAAAATTACAGCAGCTAATTAGTAAAATTGCTAAATACTACAATTGCAAGATGAAAACTGACCTCAAAATTTTTGTTTGTTGCAACTTAATTTTTACCTTTTTTAGTTGGTTAATACCCTTCAAATTTACACATTAAGGAAGTTTTCCCTTCGGTTAGATTTTATTTGATTCATCGGCAAATAGAAAATTCCTGTTTATCTCCTTTTTACCACTTTTCCTCATCTTCTTCCTTCTCACTCAAAATTTCTTTTCTGTCAGAGCCGTATTGGCAAACTTCATGCTTCATTTCTCCTCTTCATATTTTCTTCACAAATTCCTCTATCCTACTCCTTTCTCCTTCTCTGCTCTTTCCCCTTACTTTTGTTTTTTTTCTTTTTCTCCAAAGGATTCTCCATTTTCATTTTCCTTCTATACTTCTTCATCTTCTTCCTCCACCCATCTCCAATTTCTCATCATACATTGTCTAGACAAGTCTAATGATGCACCTCTTCTACCCTTCTGCTACTTTCCAGCCACTTATTTCTATTTTCTATTTTGTATCTTCCATTCTTTCACTTACAACCAAAGTCGGTAAAAGAAATTTAAACGATTAGTTGCTAATTCTAGGGAAAAGGAGGAAACTGAATTAAATACAAACGACCCCTCTTACCAAATGAGAAGTTCGGCATCATTGAACGTGTTTTAGTCTTGGGTGAAGCAGTCATTTTGCATTCAATGATAAAACAATTAAAAGTTTTTAATCAACTACAAGAACATTGCCAGTGTAGCTATTACCAAAATCCATAACATCAAAACGATTACTTTTGATCTCAACCATTAATTGAAATATACGTAGTTCCAAACATCATGCTCAATCAATGAAAGGGAGGAAAAAGGATGAAACATTTACCATACGCGCAACGACATTTCCAGCTGTGACCTTTCCTGGACCATATATAACTCCTGGATAAACAGGCACTATTGTCATTCCTTCAGATGCAGCATCTAATGCAACTTTATCAGCAACAACTTTCGATTTCTCATACTCCGTACAGAAGAATTTTCCACTGTGGGTCTGTATTCAATAATATCTAGTCAAACTTTTGTGATAAAAGCACATCCAGACATATTAAATTCGTCACTTAAGTGAACTGCCCATCTAGAACTAGAAGCTCAAAATGTTAAAACATGAGAACATCTATTTATTTGAGGTATAGGTATGTAGCTTGCCTACTAAACGTGTGGGCCTAGTTCTTTTTCTTGGGATAATATTAGTGTTTAGTGTTTATAGGTGACGATGAAACTCAAACACAAGACTTTTGCTTGCTGTGATACGTGAACCGTCTCATCCAAAGCTTACATTGTTAAAAAGGAACAAATTTATTTATTATACATCTGCAACAAAAGTTGATCAGCTCTCGTACCTGAGTTTCATCGGCAACATATCCGTCAGTTGATCCCAAGGCAAAAAACGATGATGTGTACACAATTTTCTCTATAGTGCCCGTTTCTTTATAAGCTTGCAACACATTCTTCAGCCCTCCAACATTGACCTATAAATGCAATTGAATAACATTGTAAATTCTAAAAGCAGCTATAATGGATACTTAAAAGTAGCAATAAAGAGTACACTTAGTATGGTTCGTGAAAGATATTTTCCTAGATGAAGTCATCAGTATTTGTAACATGTTTGTCCAAAGAAAATATTATGAATTGAAGTCATTTTCTTAGTTCCAACTGTTCCTCCTCATCGCTAGCTTCAATAGACATTATGGTCAATCTGTAAGAGTACTAAAGTATCACAAAAACCTATCCATTCCACCATCATTTATTACACAAAAATATCAGAAAAAGACTATTCTTATAGGCTATCCGCTATCATTCCATCATCAATTAATACTCAGAAGTATCATAAAACACTATTCTTATAACCTACATTTAAATCTATCTAAGTTTAAGTTTTAAACTTACACAATGGATCCCTTAAAAGATAATTGCAAATAACTCTATTTAATATCATAGATAGTAATAAATGGTAAATAACTTATTATAGCATGTTAAATTACACAAATGGTGTACAAATCATTAGATTGTCTGTAAATAACCTAAATCTATCTAAATACCACACGTCACCTTCTTTTACACCTAAACACTGAAAAATATTTTTAAGAAATAAAACAATATCTACGAAAAACATTTTCCGCCACGCCAATCACATTAGGAATTTGTGCTCACGGAGCTGAATCTAGAAGGATCCGGAAGCCAAGGCTCGACTAAGGCGGCAGCGTGAAATATGACGTGGCAACCGGAGCAAGCCAGAAGGAGTGACTGATAATCTGTAACATCTCCGAACACAAGCTCTAGAGTTCCGTGGCTGCTTCCGCCGTCAGTAGGCGGAGGTAGAGAAGAAAGGTCGCTTGTACGGCGGACGAAGGCTTTAACATGGTGTCCGCCGTTGAATAACTGGTTGCATAGCCGTCCACCTAGGTAACCGGAAGCGCCGGTCACCAGTACGACTCTCTTCTTCATTTCCTGTGTACTTTTCAAGTTCTTAGTCAACCATTAGACATTTTAGACTGGGGACCAGGCTTTGAGTTTTTATGCATAAATTTTGCAGTGAAGGGCTTTGATTTTGAATGTATTTCGATTCAATCACCGCAGAGTTTTTATTTTGAGTTACAAGCACCAATTGGAGAAACCTACTACTCTTTTCAACTTTTCATGCCATCAAGTTAAAATGTTTATTCATTTTGACACACTGTGACAATGTACTCACATAATTAGTAGAAAAAAATCCTAGTTATAAATATTGGCACCAAATAACCAACAAATATATTACAACAATAATGTGTATACCAAAATATATATCTAAACTTTTTTTTCCTTCTTTGTCTATAATTCTATATCATAATATATATATTAAAATTTTATTTTTCTTCTTTGAATATATCTATATGTATAACACAAAAAGAATTATATTATTTTGTATATTACCATGTATAATACATCAAAAATAATGTGTATATCACAACTTTATTTTTCTTCTTTGTGTATATTAACTATATATCAAAATTTTATTTTTATTCTTTGTATATCAAAATGTAGATCAAAAAATTATTTTTCTTCTTTGGATATCTCATTATATAACACATAATTTCTTGTAGATATACACAAATATATATATGCTAAAATTTATTTTCGTTCTTTGTATGCAAATTTCTCCTCCTTTATGGTCTTCAAAAAGTAGCAGCCCACTAACACTAAGATATATAGTGATACAGAGCCCTTGCCTTCCTTCCTTTAACAGAAACATATAAATCCAGTCCAAATGTGGCCTTGAGAAACAAAATAAAAAAAGTTCTTTTGACTTGAAATAATAAGTTCATGATTTGGAATAGCCTCAACTAATTTTCTCTTGTTATGAAATACTTAATTATGGTGGATGTTTACTCTTCTCTATTATCTCCATAACTCCAATTACTCTAATACTTGTGGAGTTATAATTGTAACTCCATAACCTCCTCTATGATCTCAAATGCTTAATGACATGTTTATAGTATTATTTGGTATACCTCTATGTAATACTATAAATAGAGGATGGGAAGTGATATTGTATATGCTTGAAACATACACTTGAGTACATGGAAGAAATAAGAATCTCTCCTCTCTTTCTCTCTATATCTCTTAGCTTGTTTTCCTTGTTCTATATTGTTACTTTAAGCTTAGTTTTATAACACGTTATCGGCACGAAGTCTCTAACCTCAAAGTTAAATTCCACTTCTGGTGAGGTATATCTCCATAATCTATTATCAAAATTATCAAGCCTAATAATTCTTTTGAATTTTAATATCAGATATACATATGAGTATATTCCGCCGAATGAATGTTGTTTCCTTATTTTTGTTGTAATGTTTCATCATAATATAAACTTGAACATCATTTTTGTTCATGAATATAATATTGTTAAACTTTCGTGAACAAAATAATATATGGCATGTTGTAGATAAAAAAATCAACAAAAATTATACTTTATTATGTATGCTTATGGTTTTACCTTATAATACATTTTTAGTATATCTAGTATAATGATTATACATTAATTTACTTTCAAATATAATATAATAATAATAATACTCGTAACTCTTTTATTTTAAAAGATAAAATATTAGTACAAAAAGTATATACTACACCAAAATTTTCATTGATGATAGTTCTTATCAAATTAACATGTGGAATCATTTCTATATGAAAAGCATATAATAGTAGATAGTTGATAGAGATTTGTCCACTATTTTTTTGATTTTCTAATTGACTTAAAGGTTCTGCTGTATCTCTTTGTTTTTCTAGAGAGCATAATACTTAGTATCCACAAAAGTGCATGGTAACTAGTATTACTATTATTCTATTTGATACAGCATTTTTCCTTAATGTGCTGGTTATATCACTTTCATCTTGAGGGGTTCTTATTGCAGCAAAGACCACATGTGAATTTTTAATATTATTTTTTATTTTTATATATCTATTTGACACTTATTACTTAGCTGATTTGAGTAAACGAAAGACTATTATTGAGAATTATATCCAAGAGGCATTATGAAGAGCTTAACTCAAGAGGTAAGCATTTTCTTCATATTTGAAATTGTTTTTGTCCGTTGCTGTTAATAATATCAACTTCAATGAGTTCAAGTCGCAATGCATCATGAGGGTAAGACATCGGGATTAAGTCCTGATGCTCCATGATGATAAGAGTTGGTTTGAATCCTAATTCATTATGGCCTAACATGCCTTTATATTGGTAAGGCATTGATTTTGAGTCCCTGTCACGATCCAAAATCCAACTAGTCGTGATGGCACCTAATTCAACCCCGCTAGGTAAGTCAATTAACGACTATCCAAGTTAAAGAGATTTATCAAGAAAAGAAGTGATAATACAATTGCTTTTATACAAGAATTTTTCAGAAACTGGTAGTACAAATCATGAGCTTCTGAGATTAGAATTTACAAAGAGGGTATGAAATAAATACATCATCTGTTCGAAATATCCATAAACAGATTTTTATAATCTAGGCTACCATAAACAAGATGCAATTATAACCGGAACGTAAGTACATCCTCAAATCCAGCTCCCGTCGAACACAGCAACACCAGCAGCCAACATCTGCACGCAAGGTGCAAAAGTGTAGTATGAGTACAACCGACCCCATCTACTCAATAAGAAACAAAACTAACCCTAGGTTGAGAGTAATGACGAACTGGAATAAAGGTCGGAGTCCAACACCAATAGCCAACAATAGTTCATAACAATATAATGAAAGTAGTAAAAGAAGTAGCTCATATCATTCTCAGTTCCAGAAAAAATAGGCCTGCTTTTCAAGTATATTAGTGAAAACCCAAATCTTTTACCGAAATCGCCAAAAAAATATGAGTAAGTTTGAAAACCAAAAATTTTCCAAAAAGGTTTCAACAGGTAAATGTTTCATTTTAAAATAGCATGAGGAAAATACATCTCTATGCCTATATGTTAATACGCGTGATAAGTTATGAATGACGTGATACTGTACAACACGAGAAAAGTTGCATCTCTATGTCTGTATGTCAAGTGTGCATGTCAAATGCGATGCGACTCAGTGATAAAAACCATATGCATACAATTCATCTCTATGCATGTATGTCAAGTGTGTATGTCAAATGAGATGCGACTCGGTGATAAAGACCATATGCGTACTCTCAGAGTATCAATTCACTCAGTTCTCCCAGTCACGCAATCCTCACAGCCACTCAGTCCTCAGAGTCACTCAGTCCTTACAGTCACTCAATCCTCACAGTCAATCCTCACAGTCAATCCTCACAATTGGTAGGTACTTACACTCACTGGGGGTGTGTATAGACTCCGGGAGGCTCATTCAGTCCAAGTGCTATAACAAGCCAATCTTGGCATAAATCAATAAAAATATACTACGGCGTGCAGCCCGATCCCATAAACATCCTCACCATTAGGCCATTGGCCTTACTCAGTCATCAATCTCTCCAGTCTCTCGGGCTCTCAATGTCATGAAAAATCAGCCCAAAAATAATTATGTGATATATCAATAAATGGTAACAGAGACTGAGATATGATATGCATATGAATGTGTATGAGTGAGTATGTAATGCAATGAAAGTAGATAGCTCAACAACAGAATTAACCTCAGTGGGTCCCAACAGGATAAGCATGTAACCCATACATGGTTTCTAACATGGATCACAACTCAATAACTCTAATACATAGAGATTTCATGGTTACAGATAAGATCAGGTAACTATGCAGTACCACAGGAATAACGAAGTTACAATTCACACGGTGCACGCCCATACGCCCGTCACCTAGCATGTGCATCACCTCAACACCAAACAACATAACACGTAATTCGGGGTTTCATACCATCATCACCAGGTTTAGAAGTGTTACTTACTTTGAACAAGCTAAATCCAATACCAAGCAAGCCAAATAATGCTCCAAAAATGCCATCCCGCACGTACCGACCTTCGAACGGCTAGAAACTAGCCAAAAGCAACTCAAGAATATCAAATAATGCCTAAGGAAGCAATTCCAATTTATTGTAATGACCCGACCGGTCGCTTTGAGCTTTTGTACTTCGCTCGCCAGTTTTTGGGCATGACTAGCCTCGTGTGATGTATTATGACTATGTAAATCCGGAATAGATTTGGAAGAACAATACTCAGTTTGAAGCTTTAAGTATGAAAGGTTTGACCAAGTTTTGACTTTTTAGTATTCGATCTCGGATTTGGATGTATATGATTTGGTTAGCTCCGTTTAGTGATTTTGGACTTGGGAGCGTGTCCGGAATATATTTTGGAGGTCCGTGGTAGATTTAGGCTCGAATTGGCGAAATTCGAAATTTGGCATTTTCTGGTCGGCAGTGGAAATTTTGATATCGGGGTCGGAGTGGAATTCCGAAAATTGTAGTAGGTGTGTTGTATCATTTGTGATGTGTGAGAAATTTTAGGTCCTTCGGACGAGGTTTAATAGACTTTTGGATCGAATTCGGAATTCGGGAGTTTTGGAATTCTTAGGCTTGAATATGAGGGTGATTCGATGTTTGATGTTGTTTTGGGTGTTTCAAAGGTTGGAACAAGTTTGAATAATATTATGGGATGTATTGGCATGTTTGGTCGGGGTCCCATGAAGCTCGGATAAGTTTTGGAAGAGTTTTTGGAAGATTGTCGCGTTTTGAGCATTAGCATGTAATGATCTAAAGGTCTATTTTTAGTTCTAGAGATCGAAATTTAATTTCGAGACCTCCAGAATTTTGATAATGAATTATAGGAGTGATCTGGAAAACTTGGTCTAATTTCATCAAGTCGCGATTGGGTTTTTGACGCGAATCATGAGTTAATTGCTTAACAAGCAAAATGGGTATCGCACTGAGCAAATGAGCTCCGAATTGAGTTTCGATTGAAGGACTATGTTTGTATTATTATTTTTTTACTCATAGAAACAAGAATCATTGAATTCCAAGTTCGTATGATGGAGTTAGAGCCTTTTTAGTGAAATTAAAGACTTCTGGTGCATCAGATCTGGTGTGCACATTTA